ATTTGGTTTCGCTCTACGCTAGTTGACTAGGAGTGGCTTTTGAAAGACCGGGAACCCAAGTGGACAACTTAGGCTGGAACTCACAACAACCATTGGACGCATGACGTACCAATAAATTGCCGATCATTCCGAAAAAGGGTTGAGCATAAAAAGTCCGGCTGCGATTATGCAGAAACCGTTCTTTAATATACTATACAAATATCAGAAAGTGCCATGAATGCAATATGACAATTAATATTCAAAATTTAAACACATAATTGCATAAAGTAACAATTAATACAATAATAGTTAGCCAAACAATAAAATCCTTTTGGTTAGAACCTAGATGAATCCCCGGGGGAGTCGCCATTCTGTTACGACCCAATTTCGAAACCTTTAGTTTTCGAAATTGGGTCGTAACACACCACATGATTATTATTTTTTAATGTAAGTTAAAATTCACTTCTTTATTTGGACTCCTTGACTAAGTAGTGGCAACACTTTCAAGATAAAGAATTATGTGCCATTAGTTAACTAGTCTTCTTTGTCCTTAATTGGCCAAAGAAAATATATTATTCCAAATTAAAGATTGATATAAAAATATTGGAACAATAACGTGTGGAAAAAATAAAACGGGGGGGGAGGGGGGGGGGTCTAATATTAGCATATTCAACACAGTATTGGAAATTTGCTAATATAATAATAATAAAGAAGACAACTTTACAAACCAATTTTTCTTGATATTAATGTGTCATGAAGAAAACTTTTCTATGTTAATCAATTTTGGGTTGTGTCATATCATGTTTTCTTCACCTTTAATACAACTAAATTCTTGAACTCTTTACTATAGCATTGTATGGATGGTTGTTACCGATTAGTATTGTATTGTTAGTTTAAATGTTATGTTTGTTTTAAGGGGAAAAAAGAGGACATTCCTATATAAAGTAAGGGAATCATATTCCAAAAACTCTTTTTCAACCTAACTACCCAACCCAGACTGAGGATTCGACTCTTGACCCTAATCAACAACCTGGTTTCTAAATCTAACTCCAGACCAAACTATTGATCTGGAACCCAACTTTGACCTCGACCCAACCTAGAACCCGACTCCCTACCTTGATCCCAATCGATGACCAGACCTCGCCCCGATCCTGATCGAAGACCCGACTACCGCCTCAATTCAGACCCTGATCTAGGACTCAACTCCCGACCCGACTCTCAGTTCGGACCATGAACCCAATCCTAACTCCAATTTGAGATCTAACTCTCGGCCCTTACCTTGGATCAACCCTGAGTCGAGATCCAACTCCCAATCTGAATTCCGACCGGAAACCTAACTCTAGATTTTTATATTGAAGTTAAAAAATTCTAATATTGAATATTTGTAAAAAATAAATAATAAATAATAAAAGCTATAACAAATATTACTTAAATGGGGCAGAAAAATTAGTACACCCCATGAAATTTTTATATTTAAGTTATTGATTCACTTCTTTGTTTGGACTTCTTGCAACTAGAGAATTTTATACCATTAGTTGACTTAAAGTCTTCTTCTGTAATTTTAGACAAAGAAAAATTATGATACCAAATTAAAGATTGATATAGCACAATTGAAAAAATAACGTGTGGAAAAAAAAGGGCCAATATTAGAATATTCAACACAATATTGGAAGTTTGCTATTAATAATGAAGACAACTTGACAAATCAATTTTCTTGGTATTAATGAGTACTAGTAAATTAGTCAAAGCTCTGTGATACCAAAATTCTTTTTTCAACCTCACTATCTGTCACGCCCCGGGCCTACACCCTGGACATGGCCGGCACTCGAAGACCATTGCTAGTCTCAAGTGAACCCTTGGCCTGACTTACTGACTCAGCGGAAGAATCTAAACATTTTTATTATGATCAAATGAACTTTAGTAAAATAACACAGAATGTTTAATAGTCAACATTCAACTTGGCCAAAATGACAACTCAAGTCTCAACATTTGAAATGATAATGTAAAGACACCTGACTACTAACTATCTATGAAGCCTCTAAACAACTGAGATGGATGTCGGGACAGGACCCCCAATCATCCTAACAAATGAAATACTAAAAAGAACTAAAAGCAATAAAGGAGTCCTCCAGAATGCAAGGAGGCTCACCACTGACTCTGGAGTGCTCAACTGGATCAACGGGGCACTGGATGCCGATCCTAGTTATATATGCTTGCATCGTAAGATCATGCAGGCCAACTGGCATTAGTACATTGAATGTACGAGTATGCGATAGTTGGAATGCTAAAACAACATAGGCATGAAAGAGAATCTGAAGAACTTACCTGACTCAACTTAACTCAACATAACTGAACTCATTTCAATATAAAACAATTTAAAAGCAAGTGCAATATAAGGAAAAGTTGTTTAAAAACATGATGTCAACTCTGTGT